AGCTTAAATAATCTTCAGAAATTGTCCTCAGGTTTATTCTGATAAAGAAAAGATGGTGCAAATGAGAATGTGTGGAACAAGTGGAAGGGAATTTCAGAAGCTTAACACTTTTGGTTTTGGATTTTTTTGTTCATTTGTTTGGGGTTTTTTTGTTGTTGGTATTTTGTTGTTGTTTTCAGGGTTTTTTGTAGTTTTTTTTTTTGTTGTTGTTTGTTTTTGTTTTTTTTGAGAAAGGACTATATAACTAAACAGGTGAGAAGAAGAGAAATTGGCACCTGATAGAAGTAAGTTTCTCCTGAATAGGCTTGAATTGGTTAAATTTCCTGCTATTACTGCTGCCATGCCATTTTCCTGGGTGGAGCAGCAAAACTAGATTTTCTTTTTGCAGTTTACTGAAAGTGTTAGTGAAGTGTGAGCTAATGGATAAAGTTCTTTCTTGGTCCAAGACGCACACCATAGAAAGGTGTCCCATCTTTTCTTAGGAAACATAAAGTTTGGGGTTATCAGCATTTTTAATCAGAGACTAACTCTAAAAATGTATATGGGTACATAGACATGAGAGGTAAATAGGTACCATGTCATGTGTAGTCAGAAAAGCTGAAATATCTATTTTAGCAATACAGGTTAGATATTACTCACATTGGAGCAGAGACTTTACTTCTACCTAGGCCTAAACATGTTGGTGGAGATGTTAACATTGATCTGATTAAATATGAAAGTGGCCCAAACATCCTGGGCATCCCTCTGGGAAGAGTCTGAGGGCTCCGGGGCACGATAGTGGATTTAGTGAAGCAACACATTTCACAATTTAAGACTATATGCACATGTGCACACACTAGTCTTTTGTGTTAATGTTACAAGAAAAAAAAATCTTCAGTTTCATGCATATAGAGAATAAATCTCTTTATGAACAATGTCTCAGTCAAGGACAACATGTCCATACAGAAAAAGATTTCAATGAGTGAAAATCTCTTTTAATTTTATTAACGTCTCCTCAATGCGTAAATCCAGTAAAGACGTGCACACTTCCGTTCTCTCATTATAAAAGCCATGGTCAGTGAAGAATAGAAAAAAAGCAATTCCATATGTTAGGAGGGTCACTGAATAGCTCATTCTTTATAAATGCTACTATTTCCTAACAGCACACTCCTCAGACACTACTTAATTTCACACATTTACTTATATTAATTGAAGTAACAAAGCCATATAAAAATAACC